ATAACAGTTAAGATACTAAGTAGTCTAACTCTTTAGAGGTCTGGTAGTAGTTCCTGCCTCTGGAATGCAGGACTGCCTTCAAGGTAATGATTTGATACATGAGTCAAGGAGTTTGTGGGTAAGGTCAAGCACTCTCCCTCAAAATGACGCTTCAACGTCCCTTCCGCATCAAGGGCTTGATTTGCAGAGAAATAAAAAAATATTTTTATGGGGCTTGTTGATAATTTCTTGGTAGCAGAATACCCTGGAACATGAGAGCTCACACAAATTTTGGTTTAAATGAATTAATCATGACCTGGAAATTCTGAGAGGCTTTAGATGTCTGTAAAAGCTTTCCTCTTCTCCCGTTCCACTTTACTGTTTCCTGAAAAGGCTGTATTTCAAACAGTTACGCAGTATGAGTTATTTTTTCTAAGTGTGATGTTGAATAATGCTGCAGTCACTTAGACAAAAATTCCAAATGCCTCTCTGACCACACTGGCCCTCTACCATTCATAATATTGAACCTACATCGACATTGCTATAACAAATAAAAACAAAAATAGAAAATCTTCTTTTTCCTCTGTGCATTTGACATCACTTTATGTAGAGTCAGTTGCATTCTACCAACAGCATAAAGGTCAGTCAAGTTTTAACCCTTGCCATAAAAGATACTTATCAACAGGGGAACAGAGAGATCATTTAACATTTTATTTGTTTAAAATCAGGACATATTATTTAAAGGGTGTTCAATGAGAAATTGGAACATTTTTAAATTAGTAATTTTTTTAAAAAAATCAAGACAATGGCATCCCTTAAAATACCCCCAATAATATCTCATTAAAAATCCATAGCTATTTCTGATTATTTCTACCCTGCACCACAAGCTTCTCCATAGCAATCTTCATGCTGATCAGTATTGGATGCAGACGAGAACATGTTGGGAAGACATTCCATGATATATAATTAAATCCCCACAGACCAAAAAAAAAAAAAAATGACGACACTTAAAAAGAGACTAATGGAATAAACTACATAAAACTATTTTTAGACTGCTGTTTTCCAGAAATTATTCACACAGGCTTCTTAAAATGAGTCAATTTAATGATCATCAACTGTCTGAAAAAATTGAATGAATGCATCCGATGAAGTGAGCTGTAGCTCACGAAAGCTTATGCTCAAATAAATTTGTTAGTCTCTAAGGTGCCACAAGTCCTCCTTTTCTTTTTGCGAACACAGACTAACACGGCTGCTACTCTGAAACCTGAAAAAATTCAGAACATGTGTACAGTGCTGTCCAAAATATGTCTATTGATGATCCCCTTGTGTTATTGTTCAGAAAAATTATTTTTAGAATTATTCCCTTGAAGTTTCCCTAGTACAGACTCATATTATACAGAGCACTGTAAAAAGTCCAGGAATTATTTGTGTTGTATTGCAATAAATAATCCAGAGACACCAACATGACCTCCTGACTACCTCCAAGACTAGCCCTGCCCCCACCCCCAACCCACTCAATAGTGAAATATTTTGGATGTACTCACCCGGCAGCGCTCCAGGTCTTCGGCGGCACCTCAGCAGCAGGACCTTCAGTGCCCCCAAAGACACCCAGAGCAAGTGAGGACCTGCCGCCGGGTGAGTAAAAGCGCTGCAGCGGGTGGCTCCTCTTTTTTGGATTGCTCCCCCTGTTCCCTCCACCTGGCTATGCGGCTGACTACATATATGTGGCAAATTTGTACATAGACGTGTATTTTAGCACAGAATTACATGGTACCATACAACTTAACAGAAAAGTTTAATGAAAAATCAGTTGTGCATCAGAGAGCACAAGTCTTGGGAGAAAAGATTTGGGTTTGTTTTTTTATTCTGTGGGGGACAGTTTAATGAATGGATGAAAAGATGGTACATTTTAGGTGCATCAGTTTATTCTTCATTCCTTCTGTCTCTCTACCTCTCACCCCTCTTTCAATCCTATGTAATATGTAGATTATGTAGTGACAATCTGAACCTGCATCCCCTTATACCACCAACCATGCTGATGCAGTGGCAGTTCAAGGATCTCAGCCTAACCAGGGTTAGGTAGAGTAGAAAACGATCCTGGTGATTCATGAGATGGCATTCTTTCTTGAGTTGGTATGAACAAACACCTTAGCATGGTGTTAGAAGGGCAGAGGGTGTCTTTCAAATGAGACAAAAAATAAGAGGCCCTGACCTTTTGCTAGAAGAAGATTGCACTGCACTTTTTGTAAGTTTATTAGTGTTAACTCAAGAATCCCGGCCAAATTTCAACGTGGGCAGTATGTGTTCTGCCTCATCTAAATTTCCCCTGGAGTTTCAATTGGAAAAGCTTGTCTTGTTCTTATAACTTAATATTTATATTTGCAGAAGAACAGAGGCCCCACAGCACCAGCAAATACATACACGATACCTCTCCCATAGAGCTAGACAAGGGTTCTCAAACTGGGGGTTGGGACCCCTCAGGGTGTCATGAGGTTATTACATGGGGGGGTCATGAGCTGTCAGCCTCCAACCCAAACTCCGCTTTGCAACCAGCATTTATAATGGTGTTAAATATATAAAAAATTGTTTTTAATTTAAAAGGGGGGGGGTCGCACTCGGAGGCTTGCTACGTGAAAGGGGTCACCAATACAAAAGTTTGAGAACTACTGAGCTAGAAGATGGTGGCCTTAAAGATAAGTTTAGAGAGGATGTTGCATTCAAAAGAAGCAGTGTATCCTAATCTGTCATGCAGGCTTACTTAAATGGCTGCCACTTTCCACATCAGAGATGTCTGTACTTCAGTGTTGGACATAGCAATATTTATGAGTAATCTGTATTATCAGTAGCAACATTTGTCACAGGGTATTGGGACCCATTTGAACAAGAAATGATATAAAAATGTAAAATCAGTATTACTGAAGATAAAAATGGTTAAGATAAAACTAATTGTTGAAGGCAGCATGATCTAACTACTGAAAGCATATAGATCTTATAAAATTGAGATAGGGAGTAACAATAATAATAATAATATTTAGTACTTACCTAGTATTTTACAGTTTCATAATGCTACAAAAACATTAATTATTCCTCAGATAGAACTCCTAAAAGGTACGTATTCCAGAGAGGGCTCCAATAAAACCTCAACATTCACCAACTCAGGCACCTGTAATAACCTTGGCTTTTTCCTATTCTTACAATGCAGACCACGCTGTCTAGCAAAGTACAATGTTGTTGTATATCACTCAACAAGCACTTAAAAGAGATTGTTATTTCTAGATGACCAGCACTCAGTCATACCCAGTCACATCTGTTATAGTATTAACCTGGCTGAAGTACACAGAAGAGAAGCACATCAGGCCTGACTGAGCAGAATTTTATAAGAAAAAAGACGTTCACTCCCTTGTCCACTGTAGATTTCACTACAGGAAAGGAAAATGTAATGTCATGAAGGAATATTTCCCACAAAATCCCTTACCTCACTCCAGTGAAGAGTGCAATAAATATCCTACATTTTCCAACAGACTACTGAAAACTACAACAAAAAGCTTGTGTTATCTACCGTAGAGGAGCAAATACTTATATGGGTTGAAAATCTTTAAGTTGTGGGGAACTCAGTTAATAAGACTGAAATATTCTTATGGGTGGTAGGAGTTGTTATATGTAATTTGAAAAAGCTGCAGCCATATGGTCTAGACAAAGCAAATTAAGGCTAACAGAAAAGAATTATTCAGACAGCTTTATGAGAAGACAACTTTAAAAAATAGCACAGCTGTTACTTTTCATCATAATTAGATATGCAAAGTAGTGATGGCAACATTTCTTAAGTAAAGCTGCATAAGTCTGATACCTCTTTATTTATTTATTATTTGTTAAGCACTGACAGTGTGTTTAGCTCCTTACAAGACAAAAAATGCAGACTGTCCCTGCCACACATGCAAAAAAAAGTTCACAAAACTAAATACTAAAAAATACATATATATTGTAAAATGGAAGTAAGTTTCACTGTGTTCAGAGATACTATCTACAATTTGTGAAGAGTTACTGGGAACAAAACTATGACAAAGGAAGATGTATTCCGCATGCCTGAGATCTTCATTCTGTGTAGATTTAACCCAATTATAAAGCCATCAATCCAGACTGCTAGTTAGTAAATGAAGACCTACCATATGCATATGCTATAGATATGAAAAGTATTATTTAAACTGGCTTCAGTATGTTTTTTAAAAAATATGTTTTTATATACTCTGGATAGAATTTAGCAGTCACATGACCAGGTATTCACAAAATCTTGGTAGTTCTGTAAAATAAAGGATTAGCCAAAAATATAAAACAGTTGTCCGCTAGGGCTCAAGAAAGAACGTGCTATCATGAAATCTGAATTATTTTAACCCCCACATTATCACAAAGATTTGCAATTACTCTCAGCAGTGGAGGAAATTACATTTATTACCATGGGTAGTTGATGATAATTATTTTGTGTAACTAATTCAACCTTTGACTATTGGATGGCTTAATTTAATAGCACTAGTGTCTATGCACAATTATAAATTATGAATCATGCTATTTCCATCTTTGCATAGAGTGATGATATCTGAAATGGAAATCACACAGAGTTAGACAGACATCTTGAGGCAACATTCAATCAGCTACCTTGGCAAAGTCTGCAGATGCTTTTTTCCTGATGTGCTGGCTGATTGTCTAGGCAATCTTAACTGTTTCCACCGTTAGTGCTAGACAATGTTAGTCACAAAGCTCCAAATTAAAGCTTCAGGAAGAAGGCTGAGAAACACTTGACATTTAAAATCAATAAACCAATATAATCATCCTGTAGCACATGCTGAGTTTTTCCAAGTCCCTTTTCCTATCCATTTTGTACTGAACAAAACTCAGTTTTAAGTAATGAAAACTGATCTCTACAGAAACAAATCATGTAATTATATACAGTTTAGTCATCACAGCACATTTTTTTTTAAATTAAATTGGTAATTGGAAATTGCATCCCCGTCAGTTTGTGCCAGTACCTTCTCCACTTTTGCTTGTATTTGCGGGTGCTGTAAGTGGTCTGAGAGGAATAACAATGTCATCCACATTAATCCCATCTTCTGCATGCTTCTCAGAGACATGAGTCAACAGTTCTGACTGATTCGGTGAAAATAAGTTACAAAGTTTACACATGAAGATGGAATTGATTCCTAAAAAATAGAGAGAGAACCATTAACATTTCTGACATCAACAGTTTACTTAAAAACCTACTAGTCACGCAGATTATTTTTTTTTACCCAAACCAGCTAATCATCAACTGCGAGGAGGACTACATTATAGTTTTAAATTAGTATTTTTTATAGAAAACAACATTAGGTAAGTCAAGAGCAAAGTAAAGGAGAACACTTCCTCCCCTCCAACTCCTCACAGCCAGGAGAGAGATATGGATGGACACACACACACACACACACTTTCCAAGGGGCAAAAGAATTAAAAGCTCCTTTTCTTTTTCAGTATCACTGTGGGATTCCACTTCAAGCTTATCAGACACCGACTAGTCAAAAGATGATACAAGATGGCGTCCTGAACAGATTCCAGCAACAGCACCCTGATAAATATCCCAGCATCTTACCCTCAGTTAACAGCTCTGTATGGCAAGGGAAGCTGAGCGTCACACCGGGTTTATGCACCTGGACCTCATCTCCCACTCACTTATCCTTTGTATCTGCCTCTAACTAGTAAATCTCACCTTCCAACTGGTAGGTGTTCAGTACATTTTTCAAGCTCTATGGTATTGTGTGATTCATTTCAGATTTTTACCATATTTGACTCTGTTTTCTTTCACATACAGTTGTCACTCCCCATCCACCTCCCATGAGACCTACTCTGTCATTCCTATATATTTTGTACCCTGGTATTATCATGTCCCACTGATCATCTCATGAGCTTCTCCATACCACTCAGCTTTCCCCTAGCTGTTATTTTAAAAATTCCTCTATGACTAGGGCCCTACCAAATTCACGGCCATGAAAAACACATCACGGACCATGAAATCTAGTCTCCCCCAGTGAAATCTGGTCTTTTGTGTGCTTTTACCCTGTACTATACTGATTTCTCGGGGGAGACCAGAGTTTCTCAAATTGGGGGTCCTGACCCAAAATGGAGTTGCAGGGGGTCACAATGTTATTTTAGAGGGAATTGTGGTATTGTCACCCTTACTTCTACACTGCCTTCAGAGCTGGGTGGCCGGAGAGTGGCGACTGTTGGCCAGGTGCCCAGCTCTGAAGGCAGTGCCCGCCATTAGAAGAGCAGAAGCAAGCATGGCAATGCCATACCATGCCACCCTTATTTCTGCGCTTCTGCCTTCAGGGCTGGGCGGCCGAAGAGTGTCGGCTGCAAGCAGCAGCTCAGAAGTAAAGGTGGCAATACCATACCACGCTGTCTTTACTTCTGCACTGCTGCTGGCAGCGGCTCTGCCTTCAGAGCTGGGCTCCCGGCCAGTAGCCACCGCTCTCCAGCTGCCCAACTCTGAAGGCAGCACCACCGCCAGAAGCAGCACAGAAGTAAGGGAAGCAGTGCCACAACTCCCCGTACAATAACCTTGCAACCTCCCTGACAACTCCTTTGTGGGTCAGGACCCCTAAAACTACAACACCGGGAAATTTCAGATTTAAATAGCTGAAATCATGAAATTTACTATTTTTAAAATCCTATGACCATGAAATTGACCAAAATGGACCCTGAATTTGGTAAGGACCTAGCTATGACCTTTTAAACTTTACATGCCAGCAATCTGGTTCTATGTTGGTTTAGGTGGAGCCCAGCCTTCCTGTATCAGCTCCTCTTTCCCAAAAGGTTTCCCACTTCCTAATCAACATAAATCCCTCCTCTGATCACCATCGTCTCATCCACACATTGAGACCTGCAGTTCTGCCTATCTAACTGGCCCAGCGCATGGAAATGGAAGCATTTCAGAGAATGCTATCATGGAGGTCCTGGACTTTAATCTCTTATCTAGCAGCCTAAAATTGATTTCCAGGACCGCTCTCCTACCTCTCTCTATGTCACTGGTCCTACGTGTACCACGACCACCAGTTCCTTCCCAGCACTGTACATAAGCCTGTCTAGATGTCTCAAGAGGTCTGCAACCTTTGCACCCAGCAGGCAATTCACCATGTGCTTCTCCTGGTCATCAAAAACCCAACTATACATATTTCTAACAACTGAATCCCACATTACTATTACCTGGCTCTTCCTAATAACAGGAGTTCCCTCCCCTGGAGGGATATCCTCAGTGTGAGAGGATACCACAAAATCATCTGGAAGGAGGGTCCCAACTATGGGATCATTTCCCTCCACTCTAGCTTGATGTTCTCCTTCCCCAAGACTTTCATCCTTTTCAAAAGCATAGAAAACATCAGATTGGGGTGGGACTGCTCTGCTGTGTCCCAGAAAGTCTCCCCTATGTATTTCTCTGTCTCCCATAACTCTGCCAGTTCCATCACTTTGGTCTCAGGAGCCCATACTCAGTCTCTTAGGGCCATGAGCTACGTGCACAAATGCACACGTATGACACCTGCCCACAAGGCAAATAATTGTACTACTCCTGGGGGAATTCTGTGCCAAAAAATTAAAAATTCTGTACCCAATATTTTAAAATTCTGCAAATTTTATTTGTCAAAATAACACTACATAATCACGTCAGTTTCAATTATTTTGGTAATTTATTTCAAAATACCTGTTAGCAAGTATGTCTGTAACAATACAAATAGAAAAACTCCCCCAGGAGTAGAGAGTTAAAGAAACCCCTACGACAACCTAGTTCTTGTTTCTCTCCCTCCTCCTCCCCCCCCCGCCCTTTGAGCCCAGCCAGGGGGTCAAACACCCACAACCCCTCCACCTGAGTCTAGCGACAGCCCCCCCCCCCGACCAGACAAGCAGCCCCCACCCCTCCAGAGCCCAGACGTAGACCACCCAGGCCAGACAGCCACCCCCCCCCTCTCCCCAAGCCCAGCTGTGGTCCCCCAGCCCAGACACCAGCCTCCCTCCCCCCTTGGCTCCCCAGGCCAGACAACAACCCCCTTCTGCCCCCCCGAGCCCAGCCGTGACCCCCACCCCCATTCCAGACACCCATTCCCCTACCACAAAGGGATCCAGAGGGAGAAACAGCCTGTTGCTGGGTCCCAGGCTTGTGTGGAGTTTCCTGCCCACCACCATCTCCCTTCCCTCAGGGCATGTGGGTAACTGCAGCTACCAGGAACTCTCTACTCTCACGCCATCTCCCCCCCCTCCCCCCGGCAATGTCTTCTATGTGCAAGCTGCACTCTCCTGGGTCCAGCGGACCCTAGTGGTAGCCAGTAGCACTGCAGCCCATTTATGTCATGGAAAGGAAATGGTGGGCCAAAAACATTAATTTGTGTAAAATTCTGCATTGTGCAGTGGCACAAAATTCCCCCAGGAGTATCATACATGCTGCATTCAGTGCAATAAACTTGATAGCCTCCCCTCTGCTGCTGGACTTGTGTGCATTATTTTTACTCTTGCGGGGGTATTTTTGTTTGTTTTGTTTTTGGGGTTTTTTTGGTTTTTTTTTTTTAATGACAGCATCCTCTCGTTGTGTCTTTGGAGATAGTTGTATTATTCTCAAACTAATGCACAGAGCATACATCTACAACTCCTTGAACATCATATGTTGCAGGAAAACTCTTAAAATTATGTTTCATTAAATTATGTATGTAAGCTGTTGTTTAAAGTACATAATGTGTTTTCAAAAGATCAGTATGGCTCCTTCCCAGCCATTCTGCAGTCTTGGGCACATACATATTATGGCAATTTTTAAAAATGCATATTACGTACGTGACAGAAACGCTCCTTGAATAGATTCCACTCTACTTGCTTAATATGTATTCATTTTATAAGATGAAGCATATTATTTACTCAGTAGGTCAAAACTGTTCTTCCTAAATGTAAATATGTATTTAAGATTCGTGCTATGCAGAGTAAAAATACCTATGAACATTAAGCAAAAATGAAAAAGTTAATATGCAGTGGCTACCAGAGAGAGACGAATGCCCCAGTATTCAGATGACATTCACTTTCTGGAGTCTTATCTTCTAGTTGATACTCAGATTCCATTTGGTCTGCTCTCCCCTTCCTGAATCTTTGGGGAAAGGAAAAACTGACTGATTGGCCCACTTTCCACTGCCTCCTCATCCCTTCTTACATTTTCCGGGTAAGTGTCTTTAGGGTCATCTTTTTCCCCTCTCACTCTTAACAGCAAGAGTGCTAGAGGAAGAGTGACCAGCTGCTAGCAGAAGACTAATGAGTGCATAAACAAACAGTCAAATTATATATATATTTTACAGAAACCCAAAAGTGAAATAAGTGTCTGGCAATAATAATAAAAAACAGGGTCTCTCCCAAGGAGCTTACAAGATGATATCAGACATGGTATAATAAAAAGGGTACCAACACCATAAAGTAAAGGAAAAGTTGGAATATATGGAGCCAAAGGACAGAAAGGGTGGCAATGAAGAGTGTGGATTGTGGTAATGGGGAAATGTCACAGAGTAGAATGATGAGGAGTCCAGTGGCACCTTAGAGACAAACAAATTTATTTGGGCATAAGCTTTCGTGGGTAAAAAACCCACTTCTTCAGATGCATCTGGGTTTTTTACCCACGAAAGCTTATGCCTAAATAAATGTGCTAGTCTTTAAGGTGCCACCGGACTCCTTGTTCTTTTTGTGGATACAGAATATCCAGGAGAGTAGAATGCAGAGGCTGGATGTGAATTAAGAAGGGAAATATAAGGCAATAAAACTGGAGTAGAGAAGTGAAAACAAGGAGAATGTTAGGAAGAATGGGCAGAGGGTGGAGGGCGCGGTCCAGGCAGCAGGAGAATAAGCGTGCTGATCATAGTTCTTAAACAATTAGGTGATGAGTAAGCAACTGACAGTTGATCAACCAGGTGCTAATTAGGTGGCGAAGAAACAGGGAGATTAATTAAATAGTCAATTAAGTGTAATGCATCAAATAAGCAATAAGTCAATTAAGTCTGCACAGAATCAATGATTAAGCAGTGGATAATTAATTAGGTGGGAAGTCAACAGAGCAATTAGACAGAAATTAAGTATGCAGAGAATCAAAGAAACCGTAAATTAATTATGTCGGTAAACAAATAATATGACTATCAGCCAAAAATATTAAGAA